TAAGGCGCAAACTAATGCAGGAAAAGACAGCAGCGGTGTATTCAAGGATGCACATAATGTGGCGTGCTTCCTCACAAAGTCAGGTTTTCTGAGCAGTTGACCTCTTGATAACAGAAGGTCAATCTTCTCTCTTACACCGTCCTTAAAGTTTTACTCTACGTCTTGAAATCTGTATACAGAAATAAATGGAGGCAAAAAGAAAAAGAAAAAAAGGAAACTTTTCCAAAAGCAATAGTGGCTACTGCACTCTTGTTAGCACTGCTAACCTTGAAATGCTTTTTAAATTACTTCTGTCATACCAGTCTTGGTCGCCTCTTTGCATCTATTAGAAAGATGTGGATCACCTCTGCATGTCTGACGAACCCAATCCTCTTTCCGATTATCACCCTTTTCTTCATAATTACCTGTCAAATCTCCCTTTATATTGGTGATATTCTAAATTACTCAGATTCTTTCTCACTGTCTTGCTAGAATTAAACGTGGTATTGACCTATTGGCGTTTTTGTTTATTTCCAAATGGATTTATTCATATTTTTATTCCTCAAACGAAACTCACTCCGACAAAACCATCAAAGTTATATTCTACAGCCAGAAATGCCCTACATATTGTGAAGCGGTGCTTTAGGTGAGGCAGCTGTAGTTTGTTGTGCGATAATGATAGCTTTCAGTTCAGGCCTCGTTGACCACCTGGCAGTCAGATGAAGCGCTTTTCATGTCGGCATTTTTTATTCGGTTGCCTTTTTATTTACTTTATGTGCGAGCAGTAAATGTGTAATTATGAAACGCAGCTGCTAATGTCAGTGATCTCCGACCTAATTCATGTCCCCTTTGCCCCGCTTTATTGATTGTTCCTGACTATTAGAGAAGGAAGAAAAACTTGGCTTCTCGTGGGCAAGTCTTGAAACCTTTATACAGAAATAAACTTGTACATAAATGGCAAATATCGAGCCAAAAGGGGAATGGGGGAAGGAAAAAAGATGAGAACACAGAGAATTTGCCAAGCAGAACAATTTTTATTGCTTAAAAACAGACGAGGGCTGAAAGTCCTCCGTTAACGGCTCTGAGTGAAACCAGCGGTGTTGCTGCAGTCCCCAGGCGATGGTGAAGTGTTTGCGTAGCTCGTGCCTCCTCTCTGCCTCTTTGTGTTTCTGCTTTGAACCATGACAAGACAAATGCTGAGAATGTGAATAGAATAAATGAAGAAAATGTTTGCAAAATTCTAGAGGGACATGGCCGCGGATGTTCTCATTTTCTCCCTTTTTGTTAATTTTTCTAACCTTTTTCCTAAATTTAAAAACATTCCCTCCCTCCCTGTTTTTTATTGTTAGTTTTCCATGTTTCTTTTATTGTTTTTTTCCATTTTCTCCTTGAGTTGCAAAAAACATACAATTCTAATTGTTGACTTTTTTTTCTTCATATGCTTGTGTCTTTGCTAAAGTAATCCACAAACTTCCATTTAATCCATTATTGTTTCTTAAGCCTCTTTTTAAGTCATTCTCCAGTATTTTTTTCTACTATTTTCTTTCACCTACATGGCGTTTGAGTTACTTTATCAATATAGGCTCATGCTGTGTGATAACATTGTGAATAATATTGTTAAGAGAAAATTAAATTTGTGAAATTGAGTTAAAAATTGAAGCGGGGAACGTGTGGCCTGTGTCTGCACATGAGTGTGTGGGGATATCGACTTACCGGTCACAAGCATTTCCAACTACACACACACACACACACACACACACACGTTTGTGTTGCTATCTTTGTGGGGACTTTCCATTGACTTCCATTCATTTCTACAGCCTAAACCTTACCTTTACCCTTTTCCTAACCCTAACCAAAACTCAATTCATACCTTAGCCCTAACTCTGACCCCTGACCCAAAAACAGGGTTTCCCATTGTGGGGACCAGGCTCCGGTCCCCACAAGGAGCAATTGGTCCCCACAACATAGTATATGTCAGGAAAATCGTCCCCACAAGGTATTACAAATGCACGCGCGCACACATACACACACACACATAGGAACTCACGCACACACACTAAACCTTTTCCTCCTCACACACTTTTCGTATCTTGTCTTATTTTTTTGGATACTATAATCCAGAAAATTTCCTTTAGGAATAATAAAACATGTAATGGAATTACTTTCAAAGTCAACAATGCGACATTCTCAAATCTCGCATTTGTGTAATTGTTTTAATTCTTATCGCAGACATGTCTTAAATCTATTTTTTCTTTAAAGAAAATAGTTCTATTCTAACTAGTGAATCCCTTGTTTTCACAAAATGCCTGAATTAATTTGTCTTAAATTTTACCAGAGCAAAGTAAGTCATAATTGCTAATCGGAATGAAAATGGACACATTGTTTTCAAAATTGTCTATAAGAAGACACCAAAGTAGTAAAGAGAGCATATCTATCTACGTGTAAGTTAATTTCTTGTTAAACCCAGATGTTTTAATAACAACCTGCATTATGAAGACCAAGAAACACATCAGACATGGATCAGGTTGTGAAAACGTTGCATCCTAACGTCTGAAGATCTCATAGTGCACTTTAGTCTATCAAGTGAACAAATGGAAAGATTACAGCAAACCTACTGACTCATGGCCGTCCACCTAAACAGACAACATTAATCGAAGAAGGAGCCTTAACATTTTCAAATAAAGGCCACTAGAGCCAAAAAAACAAACAAAACAAAACCTTTTAAAGAAAAGAATATGCAGAATCAGTCTCATCTTCTGTAGGAACAGCAAAGTTGTTCAGAACTGATAAGAAGATGAATTCAGGGCAATGCTGAAGGAAAACTTGCAGAGAAATCAGTGTTGTACAGCTAGAGCTACAATGGAATAGCTTAAGTTATGTATAATTATGTGTTAAACAGTCCAGACCTGACTCCAATTAAAAGGTTGTCACAAGATTTGAAAACTGATATTTGTTGATGTTCTCCACCCAATCTGACTGAACTTGAGCTGTTTTGTGAAGACAAATATTGCAGCTCTTTTAGTCTCTAGATTCGCAAAGAGCTGTTAGAGCACATCACAGAAGACCTGCAGGTTTAACTGAAGCAAAATATGGTTTTGCAATGTTTTGACTTAGGAAGCTCAAGAAAATGTATACCACACTTTGAAAAAAAAAAAATCAATTTTCTGTCTTACAATCATCTCTTTCATAAAATCTTAAAGACGTACTCTGAAGTTTGAGGTTACGGTGTGACAAAGTATAAAAAACTTAAAATGATACGAGCAATTTTGCAAGACATTGTTCGCAAATTGGTCAGCATTTATAAATTGTGCAACTGTGTCACGTTTGCTGGTAGGAGAATCTGCACAAACTACATTTATTTATCCAAAATGAAAATACTCCCGTTTGGAATAAAAATCCCTAAAGTACTCCAGCGATGGCAGTGATGAATCTATCTTACTACTATACGGGTTGCACTTTGCCAGAAAGCTCTCCATAGATCACTCAGGGTTACCGATATGACAGCCAACGTTTATTCCTCAAGAGGTCCTACACAGTATAATAAGATTTCGACATACCACTGAAGGCACGACTCCAAGTTCAAACTCATTGTTCTTCCAGGAAAGCCAGCAGATGACTGAGCAATATCTGCTTGTCCTGTTTTTTTTTTTAAATTTTTTAATTTTTTAATTTTTATTTTGCAATGACACGGAGTCTCTGATTTGCTTTGCAGAAACAAAACTGTGATGTCAGCACATTTCAGGGGTGAACCGTGTCCTTATCTAAATAGTGAACATACGCTCTGATCAGATCTGAAGCAGACCGTTTAGCTGTTTTTCTCTTGTTTGTCTTCCAGTTAATGGGGCCTACTGCTCGGAGAAGGATGCCAGCTCTGAGCTGAGCAGTGCCGAGGGCACCCTAATGCGATGTGGGCAGAGCCTGCCACTGCCAGCGGGGGGCCATTCAGAAGGGCTCTACCCCCCGAGCCTCCACTGCAGCAGACCAGCATCCGACCTCCTTCTGCAGGATGGCCCGCACCACGAAAGCAGGTAAAACTGTCGCAACTGCTTGCTTTTTAAAAAAAAATTTCATTGAAAGTTGTAAATATATCTTAATTTGAACATAGTATTTCTGATAAAATGCTGATAAATCATGTTGACACGAGTTATCGTACATTATTTACACAAATGCAACTAATCGCTATGCAAGTCTTTAATGTTTTGAAGAAAATCGTAGCAGATTTCTTGATAGCAGCTTTAACATATTTGTTAACATTCTATTCTTTCATGTTTTCTCTCAATATCATCTATAGAGCCAAACAGGTAAAGGTGCTTCTGAATAAAACGAGAGGGTGACCAAGTCTTTTATTAAAGACGCTGATGACATGGTCTCCCAGTTCTTCTCTCCAGTCCTGACTAGCGTTAGCTCTGTTCTTTCTTTTCCTTCCCTGGTAAACTCAGAAACTCAGGGGAAGGGACAAAGACGATAGCTGCGTGAGACAGACAGGAGAAAAACGAGCTCTTCTCACATCACTCAGGGGCTTTGGACAAAATCCATAATGAGCCAGCTGACAGGAACGATTATGTCTGAGATCACAGCAACGCATGGGGAAACATGACCCGGGTTATCCATTCAGGAGGGCAAAGATTCCCACCATAATACACAGTATTGTAAACGGCGACCCTTCATAGGGCGCAATTATGCCACCAAAACAGGTGACTCCTTATTTATCCCCAATGCTGGGTTGGGTTTAACCCCTTTGTGTCATCAAAGCCCGTCAGATGGACACACTAGCCAGGCCTCTCGGTCTCAGAAGCCACCCTTACCTCCCCCGCCTCACTCTTCTTTGTCTTAAATGCTCATTCATATCCTCTCACTACAAGAAGATCCTGTTTCAGTTATTCATAAAACAACTCTGGATCATAGACAGGCTGTGCTCCGTGATTTGTAACATAACTTTTCAGTTTTGTTTCATTTGTAACTCCGCCATGATGAACATGAGGTTTGTCTGAAACGTTCTGAGAAGAACGAATCAGTCTGTCTGTCAGCGGAAATAAAACTAGTGCAACTCATATTGCGTCTCCCTTACAGAAGCACCTCCGCCTTCCAGAGAGCCCCGCCTGGTGCCAACATGGCTCGCTCCTCTGCCCCTTACCCGATTAAGCAGGAGAACTCAATCGGACACAAGACCGCCGGCGTTCAAGGCCCGTCTCAGGCTGCGTTCCAGGCCTGTAGGGCAGATCAAGCTTTGGAGGCATCGAGAGACGATGTGGCTACGGCCCTGCATGCTAGCACTAACGGTAACAGCGTATGCACGGCGAGCTGTGCAGGTAGTGCAGTGTCAGGAGACGCGGTGCAACCTTTTAATAATGGAGATGGCTCCTCCCCACTGGCTTTGTCCCCAACTGGCTCCCATCATTCAGCGCGTCTGCTCAGTGCTAGCGATGTGAAGAGACGCTGCCTTTCCCTGGCCTCACAGTCCACTGTCGCTGCTGGCACCAGCAGCGTCGCCCCAACGGGTTCCCCATCAGCCACTGGCACGACCTCCAAGGAGATCAATATCACCGCAGCCGTCTGCTCCTCCTCCCAGATGTCGATGGTTGCCTGCGTCAACGGATTCCGCGCTAACCTCTCCCCCAGCAACGCTAGCAGCGCCGGCTTGTCTACATCGTCCTCCTCCTCTTCTTCTACATCCCCACCCTCTATCTGCTGCCAGCGGGAGGCAGCCCGGAGACCCCCACGTCACAGCAGCCCCCAGCAGTCGTCACTACAGGAGAGCTGTCAACTGTCTTCACCTGCCACCTGCCTCCTGTCCCTGTCTGCGTCCTCCTCCTCGTCCTCTTCTTCGGCGTCATTAGTGGAGCCGGAGACAGGCCTAGGGCAGAGCCTGGGGCTTTGCGAGGAGCAGGTCCCCATGCTGCGGGGGCTTGGGGCTGGAGGAACGGCCGAGGAAAGTGAAGAGAGAGGCTTGGATGGATTGGGACTACTGATGAGTGGGGCCCTTATGTCAGGGACATTGAGCTCCAGTTCTGACGCTGGTTGCCTGTTGGATGGAGGTCAAAGATGTGGGGCAGCTCTCAAGCAGGAACCTCTTGATGACTTCTCTCCAAGTGAAGACGAACTCTTCCAGCACCACTATCACCACCATCATCACCTAAGTGGTCGCACTGGGCACCACCGTCACACCCCCCACCCATCTCGATCTGCCATGCCTCCTCCCTATCACCTGCACCAATACCCGGGCCCCAGTCATGGGGGGCCACTGCAGCACCAGAGTCAGCAGACAACACAAGCCTCCTCTCTGGCATTAAAACAAACCTCGGGAGGCCCCCCCGCCACCCACACGGCCTCGGAGCATGAAGAAGTCAGAGGAGGAGCGCAGACGGATAGGCAGGTGTGTCGCTGGATCGACTGCAGCGCCGCTTACGAGCAGCAGGAGGAGCTCGTCAGGCACATTGAGAAAGTCCACATTGACCAACGCAAAGGAGAGGACTTTACCTGTTTCTGGGCCGGCTGCATTCGCCGCTACAAGCCCTTCAATGCCCGTTACAAGCTGCTGATTCACATGAGGGTCCACTCGGGGGAGAAACCCAACAAGTGCATGGTGAGTCACCAAAAAACAAACCAATCAGTTACCATTCTGCGGAAATGGTGGTCTGACGTTCGACCAATACGTTTAAAATAACTGAGTGTTCCCTCATTGTCGCCTTTCAGATTTTCTTTAATATATTTTTTGGTTTTCGAGCCTGACGTCCTCAGAATAATGTTTTAAAAAACAAACAAACAAAAAAACAACTGTATTTATAGAAAAATACACACCAATTATGTAACTGTAGATTAAAAAAATAGAAATGGATTATTTATCTGAGCACGGTGAGGTTGCATTTTTCGTTAAAAGTATTGTAGCGAAACATAATTTTCCTCACAACTAAGTAAAATTACACGGTCTGCTGCATGGTTAACTCCACTCCATCAAAAATAAACAGATTTGAGATTTAAATTGGAGCTCTACCAATTTTTTTATTGGTAGAGCTCCAGTTTCACAAGTGCTCTCACAGATCAGCATGAAGCTGTCACTCCTTCCACGTCCGTTTACAAATGGGAAAATTCCCTCAACCTTAGGACAGATTTGGTCCAAGCACACTATTAGTCCACAATATATGTAGGGCTGAAGTCTCGTTTGTTTTCACAAGTGCTCTGTTGTTTTTTTTGTTTTTTTTTTGAGAACAGATTAAAATTCTGAAAATCCAACACATATGGGAAACATAACCAAACAATGCCTACACTTGATCCGTTTAAATGGGAGCTCTAAATTTTTAGCTGTCTCACAAGTATGAAGTGAATTGACTTCAAATCCAAGCCACACACAAGTAGAAACGTAGTAATCTGGTTGAAGAGAGCCACGGAGGGATGGTCTGCAGTATTTCCTCAATATGATGTTTTTCACTTTTTAACACAAGTTTATCTATTAGTGGATTTTTCTGTGGAATGTAACTTCCAAATTATTCACAATTTCTTTTTGCCTGTTTGCAGATCTTCTGGTAGAGCACATCTAGAATGTTTGAGAGAAAATGCAACTTTGGAAGCTGACGTATCTTGGCACACTATTGTCTATTGTCTGCAAAGCAGCCAAATTCAGGAGCTCCATTTATTTCCCATGGTGCTAATTGGCAGTATACCTCCAAGAGCAAATATAAGGAAGACCAAGGATGTTAGCTTCTGTGGATGTGCTTAGAGATAGTTTCCACTGTGCACCATTGATGCATATAAAGATATATTTGGTAGTTTGAACTATTAAACCAGGGTGTTTTATGTGTCTTTGGATAGGTCTCCAGTATTCACAAATTTCAGCTTTTTGCAGGTGGTTAAGGTTCCTAACCCCTGCAGATACGGGGGGTGGGGAGTAAAGTTTGCTGCTAAAGCAGTTTCAAAAAGATTTTATTTCAATGAAGTGAGTTTTCCACACTCACTTCATTTTTGGGAGATAAATGACTATATAATACGCTGCATGTTTTTGTGTATATAAGGCCGGGTTGCGGTGGGGGCACCACGAAGCATTTATGTTTAGGGTACCGAAATGGCCGGCAGCAGCAGTCCAGTTTACTAACCCTATCCATGGCGCATCGGCCAAAATCAGTTGCTCACCCATTTACGGAGCACTGCAGAGGATCTTACGTTATGATTTATCTTTATTTGTAGTCTGGCTACTTTGTGTAAAGTTCATGTAAGCAATTATTTCTTGCATGGAAAATATGTATATGTTGGACAAAAATTTGGGGGTAGGGGCTCGTTGGTGTTTAAGGAAGTTGAAACCCCTAAAATAAGCCCAATTAAATCTGTGCCACTAACTTTGTCTAATTTTTTTTTCTTGTAGACTCAAAAAAGTGTTTATTTATAAAATATGTATATAATTCCTTAAGCAGACTTCTCTTGAGAGGTTCTAAGGAATTAATATGTTTGGCCTGGAGTAAAGTACAACATTTCAAATAGAGTGTACATCAACTTTGCTTGCATTTAAAGTGCTGAACATTTTAAGATTCCCTGCTTGAGGTCCACAATAAAGGATTTATATAACGGGGGACTGTGGTTTCATGCTTATGTAACGCAGTTGTGTTTGAAACAAAAGGCAAAATTATTATATTAGTTTATATAAACTGTTCTGCATGCATTAGTATTTCATCAATTTACATTCGTGTTCTGTTCTCAGTTCATGTTGCACACAGGAAGCTTAGTGGTGGCGCACCGCCTCCGCTGGTATTTCATGGTGAGGGATGTCCAAATTGTAGAACGCAGGTTCTGAAAATAACCTCATCCTGATGATGACTTTGAGATTGTAGTTGATTCAGGACGGTTGAAGTGGTTTTAGCCCCTCTCAGACGGACTCCTGGACAAACTAACCTGCATAGATACAGAATGAAGATGCTATGAGAGTTAGCCGCTGTAAGTAAGATATTAACTGCTTGTGTCTTTAAAACATAACCCCCACTTCAGTAAGCTTAGACTATCACTTTCAGCAAATATTCTGCACATATAAAAACCAAAAGTGTCTGCATGTATTTGGAACTTAGCTCAAAACTTTCCAAAATCCCTTATTTTTTTTTATTTTTTTTTTTGTGTGTGTCTGAGTCCCTGGACCTTTTTGCCACTAGCCCTGATGCCACTTATTTTTGTTTTGCTCATGCAATAGACTCAGGCATTCGAGTATTTGAGCTATTCGTGTAGAGGAAACAGTTGAGACATTCTGTTTTAGGACCCAGCTCTACAGAAAAAACAGGTCTAATCCTTTTATTATCTTTCCAGCGGCAGCTTCCAGCAGGCGCTCATGAAGCAGGGCTCCGCTGACATCCAAACATAACACACCTCTCTCTCCTCTCGGCCTCGCTGCAAACAGTATATACTCTATCTCCCTTCTCTTCATCCAGCTGGACAGCATTTGCTTCACGCTGCGTCTTGGCAAGAAAAAGTCATTATCACAACATATGAGCCGTGCTTTGAACCCCGAGGAGGCCTTGTCACACTCCGTACCTGGATAGCATTTTAAGGACTTACCCATTCAAAATTATACACCAGGTCCTTCCCATGTGTAGATGCTCAATTTTGAGGGTCACGAAAACCTCTGCTGATGAAAGTTAGTTTGGTTCCCACTCTCCCGCCAATTAAAGCTGGTCCTGGGTTGTTGTGCAGAGGCCAGCACCGAGGGACATGTGGCCAAAAAGGAAACAACATAATCTCTCCGCAATATCCTGTTGTGTTTCATACCTAATTCACTTGTTATTTTAGTTTATTACATTTTTTTTTATGCGTCTGCATAAATATTAAAAATATATCCAGGAGGAGGAACCCTGTCATGGTCTCGGACTTTGATATTGCTCTTGCTTTGTCAGAGGCCAGCCTGTAGGATTTGTTGTGTCTGAAGGCTGCGACCGTTGGCTGCAGAGTTCGGAAAATATCTTCCTAAAGCAGGGAGGATGAGAGTCTGAGCGAGGACTTGCATGGGAACATGACTTCAGGCAAAAGTGCTGCGCCGCACTCTTTATTTGGTTTGTCTTGCATCGAAAGAAAAATACAGCTTGTCTTTACATTTGTGTTTTCTCTTTCAGGTGTAGTGCAGAAATATGGTTGATGTCAAGTAACAGGACTGTTCTGTAATATGTCACAGAGTCAGAACAGCTTCAAGATTAATCCAACACATTTTTTTTTTTGTCAAATTGATGACAGCCCACTACTATCTCTCTGGATTCTCTACATTCTCTCTTCATCTCATTGCTCGAGTGTTTTGTAGGATCTACGTCCGTAAACTAAAATGGTCATGAAAGAGAGCAGACATTTTTTCTGCTTATTTCCAAAGTCCAGCATTTTTTTTATTTTTTATTTTTATTTAAAAAGTCCTGCTATTTTAGAGGTAATGATTCTATGCACTCTGCAAGGTTCACAAGAATAAGACAAACGGGCCCACAGGACCATAGGACCTCCTCCATGCCTAGGCTGGAGGTCTCTGGTTGTAAGAGTCATTTTTTTAAAATCCTCTACCATTTTCCCCACTGTGCCCATTACTTCTGCTACTGAGAAAAGCTTGTATCCACTTCCAGTCATCTGTCCCTTTTGTTCTGACGGCAGACAGTCATTTTGTAGTTCCAAAAATAAATCGCCCAACGCGATCTTTATGTTTCACAAATATTCAAAGTTGTCATTAATTATAAACTTTGTTCTAAAGAGTACTACTTTAGCGTAGAATAATCCACTTTGCTAAGTCTGAGTATTTAAAACTTTGAACTAGGTGAAGACCAGATTCCTCAACAAAGTAATAAAACAGTCCTTTAAATTTAGCACCAATTAGAAAACTAGGACTTGGACACCAGCTTCAGCATCTTTACCAATTCTTTGTTTATGGCCATATATTTTAAAGGACCCATATCCTCTTGAATGTAGGTGTGAAAAAGGCAATGAAAAATCCTTCAGGGGACAATTGACAGATTTTCTTTCCTTGTGTGAAATTATTCTACACAAGGTAAATTTATTTTTAAGACTTCTAACACACACTTTTTTTTTTTTCTGGAGTTGAAAACATGTCCGGAGGTTTTCTTATGCTTGATAAAAACAAATAATGAGGCCTAGCCATGACCTGCAGCCTAATGAGCATTAGTACAAGAACATACTGTACATGTGTGTATACAAACAAACACTAAAGCATGTGCCCTCTGACACACACACACGCAGCCAAACGCACTTGCTGAGTGAAAATTGGATGTTCAGCCGTCCTGGAAAAATAAGCATTAAGCACTGAATTTTTGTTTTTTTGTTGTTTTTTTTTTTGTTTTTTTTTCCACTGATGTAACAGCTGTTAACATATATATTTAGATTTACTGGACTGATTTTTGGAAGAGAGTGGTGAAATTTTCTTTGATGGCAGAGCCATAGGCAGCTGCCAGGATGCAGCGCGCACGCGCGCGTGTGTGTGTGTGTGTGTGTGTGTGTTTTCAGGGGTAAATGGACTCTTTTGTGAGCAATCGGCTCAGGTGCAAGAGATAAAACAGGGAGTTCCATTAGCTAATTAAAGTGTGGTTCAGCACATGTGCAAACTTTTCCTCTGGATGCTGGCCTGAA